GAGTCTTTGGCCAGAATAAAATATCATTGATCGTTGTGCTTGAGTCTACTTTTTTTTCAGGCGTGTTTTGTTTCACATTGGAGGTCGCAGCAGCTTCATTAAATTCGTCTTCAGCAGTTTCATGATATCTATTTAAAAAAAATCGATTGGCTCGTCAAATAATTTTTGTGATTCTTTAGGAAAAGGGTCAGCCCCTTTTTGGTAATCTTCGTTAAAATTTTCAATTTTCTTGAGGGTGAGATTGTCTTCTATTACATAATCTCCGCATATAATATCATTAAGCAACATATCGTGTTCTTTAATTATAAGAGGCAAATCCGAAAAAACGGAATCTGATGGTACCATGATGCTTTGGTCGAAGTTGTCTTCAAGGGTTGGAGTTTTATTTAGGGCTTTGGAATCTGATGGTACCTTGATACTTTGGACAAATTTATCTTTCTTAAACATAGCCCACAACTGAAACAATTTATTCAAATACGGAACTTCTATGTATTCATCATCCTTAATTCCTTCAAATTTACGAATCAGATCCTGTCCCAGAATTCTGTTGACTGTTTCTTCATTTAGTGTAGGTTCCAATCGAGGAATGTCTTTGGCAATGTCACTTTTGCTTTTATAGATATGACCCAAGCACTTACTGAAGTCGATAGCATCAGCTTTCCATGGAAATATACCACAAGCCTTAAATCCATGTTGAATTGTCTTTAGTTTCATACATTTATTCAAGACAAGATCCAAAATTGGAGCAAATTTTTCTTTGGTAAGGGCTTCATTTGGATTACTTCGTCTCCATTCAAGGACTCCCTTTTTCCATGCGTCTTTTAGGGGCTTGAACGCCGCAACATCTGCCGGTTGAAGTATGCGTGTAGCATTGGGGTATAAAGCAATGAGGGTAATCCGTAGTTTCGTACATAATTCACTAAGTTGATAAGTTAGATGAGTTTTGTGGCCGTCTACAAATAGTATTATCGGAAAGATTGTTTTCTTTTCAATAAGGCTCGGGTAAAGTATTTTAGATATATATTCATAAAACAATTCGGCCTTCATCCAGCCATTATCACTTATACCGTATCCCCAATTATCAGGTAGAGATCTTGATATTTCTAAAGTTCTTCTTTTATTGGGATAAACAACCATTGGTGGCGTAACACTACCATCCGCACCCATAGTGAACATGACTGTTAGAGAAGATTTTGCCTTTCCTCCATCTACTTCGTATACATTCTTTGACCCTCTTTCTGCTATGACTTTTCGTCCCTTGGGGCACAGCTGAAAATTAGTTTCATCCCCGTTAAATACTCTGCTAGGATCATTTAATATCTCGTTCTGTCCTTCAGCTGTTAAAAAGTTTTCAATAGTTTCAAACCATTTTTTGATGTCAGTTTCGCTCACAGTTGAGCTAGCTTGAGTAACCCCTTCTGGAGTTCGTTCTGAGAGTACTGGGTGTCGACGTAAGAAAGCTTTGAACCATCCGGTTCCCGGTGTGTTTTTTTTGAATGGATTATCTCGTGGAACTTTATCTAAAAATTCCTTTACGCTGTGAACGATATCTTCCTCTCTTCTAGGAAATCCCTTTTTTTGACAGGTCAGTATCCAGGAAACAAGTGTATTTTCCTCCTCATCACTTATATCGGTTTAGGTCCATGAGTTGTTTTAATAAATTTTTCACTTAAGCGGAAAATTAGGGTTGTTCTTGGAACGTCGTATTTCTTAGCTGCGGCTTTCTTGGACATGCCATTTTTAATAGCTGATAGTGCCTTTTGCACTCTGTCTTCTGAATAAGGCTTTATGTATGTATGTCCTTTTTTTACTTTAGGCATTTCCAATAAAAAACAAAGCTGGTTAAGGAAAACGTAGGGTACTTGGTAGCAATTCGGCACCTGCAACCAATAGTACAATTATTGACACTGCGTCCACAAGATAGTTATTGACACTGTCAATAAATGTCTGCAGCGTGTTTAAAATCAATGTGAGAGAAGTTTTCACAACCAGTATGTTTTACATAGTCATTAACCCCCATAGCAATAAAAATTAAAAATCGGCTAAAATCACAGTTATTGACACTTGGTGTCAATAACTGTATTTTCCCGCCTTTTTAGATATAGTCGTTGACATTCTAAAATTTAAGGTTAAAAACGAAATTGTAGCTTTACTAGCCTTTCTTACAAGTTTTAAATAATATTTTTAATGCATTTAAGTAAATAAGAACTGACTAGTCAATAAAATACTAATATTGTAGCATGACTCCCGTTGGCTGATCTTTAACAAATTAAGAAACACTTACCTTATAGCACTATGTCACCACACACTGACATGTTTCAACGCAATTTATAATTTGTTGTTGCCAACATAAAGAGATGAAAATTTCTACATGGTGAACTATATTACAGGTTCCTTTTTCCAAAGTGTTTATGATAATTACAGATTCCTTGATAATTTTAAAGTAGTTATACAGGTGTCAATAACCGTAGAAGTGTCAACAACTGTGCCGGCTACCCTAACTCCAAAGGTTTATTCTGTATTCTGGAATGTAGAGTATATTTGTCATAAAAATAATAAAGCATTGGGTTATTATAGTGAGCAGGCGATGGAGTTTGTACACGCAGATTTCAAAGTGACTTGTAATAAATACAAAGTTAAAAAAACATCCAGATTTTGGTGAGAGATTATTAAGAGCTAGCTGTGAATATGACAGTCAACATGTTTGATTATGATTATATTAATTAATTAATTTAATGATTTATTTTGATGTGTTTAATTGTATTACCTATACTGATACTTTGGTTGTTTGTTATTTTTGTTAGCAAAAATAAATTATTTTTTCTACAACCAAGCAGTAGCGTGCCGTATAGGGGGCCAAGGGGGGCGATCGCCCCCCCGCCCCTCTGCCCAGAGCGCCCTTTCCAACGATCTTTCCAAGTAATTATTTACTATACAAATTATAGGCAGGCTATTTATTTTTTTCTTCCATCAGTAGCACCACTGTCGCTGGTCCACCTGCCGTCTGTTATTAAAAATCAGTGCTACCCTGTTGTAAAAAATCAGACATTAATACCCGGACAACATTCGTGATATTCATACGAACACCATGTCGTGATTTTCACAAATTTTATTCATACTGATATCATAAGGAAGTCACCGCGTGATAAATGAAAATCATAAGAACGTCAGGTCGTGATTTTCACAAATTTTACTCATACGGACATCATCCGGATGTCACTGCGAAATGAAAATCATGTCGTGATTTTTTATGCCAACGGTGTTTGGATAATCATTTTTGCGCCACGTTCGTACACTAAGAGAAAAATTATGTTGAATCAACAGTTTTGCGGTTAAATACATTTAATATTTTCTTGGATTTAAATAAACTATATATAGTTAATTTAAATCCAAGAAAATATGGAATGTTAAACTGTTGATTCAATTGTTAACATACTTTTTCTTTCAATGTACGAATGTGTCGCAAAAATGAATTTCCAAACACCGATGGCATAAAAAATCATGTCGTGATTTTTTATGACCAAACACCGATGGCATAAAAAATCATGTCGTGATTTTTTATGCCATCGGTGTTTGGATATTTATTTTTGCGCCACATTCGTACATTGAGAGAAAAAGTATACCTACATATGTATATATCTATTGAATTAACAGTTTTTATAGTTAAATACATTCAATATTTTTTTGGATTTAAATTAATAGTTAATTTACATCCAAGAAAATATTAAATGTATTTAACCGCAAAAACTGTTAATTCAATTGTTAACATACATTTCCTCACAATGTACGAACGTGGCGCAAAAATGATTATCCAAACACCGTTTAAATAAAAAATCACGGCATGATTTTTTAGGCCATCGGTCAATCGCAAACAGCGATGACATAAAACTCACGACATGATTTTCATTTCTCACGCAGTGATGATGTCCGTATGAATAAAATTTGTGAAAATCAAGACGTGACGTTCGTATGATTTTCATTTATCACGCGGTTACTTAAGTAACTTAAGTAACTTAAGTAACCGGAATTCCGTATGATATCAGTATGAATAAAATTTGTGAAAATCACGCCATGATGTTCGTATGAATATCACGAATGTTGTCATTCAATTAAAAAAGATATTCCAATGTTTAACAATACGTTCACGTTTTGTTAAACATTGAAATATCTTTTTTAATTGAACCCGGACAACATTCGTGATATTCAAACAACGTTTTATAAATTATAACGGTGTAATGTGAATAACAAACTAGGTTTTAAATTCGCAGTTTGCAGGGCTCATACGCATGCGCAAATTTTGTAAATATCACACCGTGAGTTCTACATGATATCACTGTGATGAAGCATATGCTTCATCACAGTGATATCATGTGTATGCACTTAGGATATCACAGCGTGATAAAAAAAATCACGTTGTGATATCATCATGACTTCACCAGGAAATCCCGATTGTTGTCCGGGTAGATAGCAGATGTATCTAATAGATGGCAATACTGCTGACTTTCATCCACATACTTCCTGGTGACTTTCATTCACGCGCATGTTCAAAACCAACTAATTAAATAAATTTATAATTTTATTATTAAAAACAAAATATTGTTCAATTAAATATTACATAACATATTTAATTTTTTTCAATTTAAATTTCTAAAAAATAATAAGGTAATATATGTTTATTTCGTTGTTTAAAAGACGGCAGTAGCGTCACCTATTATCGGAATTATAAATGTCTGTGAAATTATGCAAACAAAATATTAAAAAAACTTCTTTTTAAATTAATAAATATACTTATGGATTATTAAGATTTTTCTTTGAAGTTTATAAATGCCTAAACAACCTAGGGAACCGTTTTTAGGAAAAAATACTGTATATGTACTGTCGCTATTTTACATATTACTGTATTACCGACAAAGTATAAGTTTCCTATTTTATCAACTGAAAAAAGTAAGTAAAGCTGTTTTGAAATATTTACGTTGTTAATTAGTAATTGTTGTGACAAAATGAATAAAAAAAGCTCAATTTCAAAAAAGTCTGGATATGCATATAGAAAACACAAAGAAGTAAAACTTCGTTTGGCTGCCGGGGCCTCGCAAAAATGCAAGATAAATAATTTTTTTCAACAGAAAGATTCATCGTAAGTTAAACATTGTATTTTATTTACTTGCTTTTAAATGAAAACTTATTATAAGTTAAAATCAGTGATGAATAATATTATTCAACCGTGGTTAAAATCATCCCTATTATAATAGGATAAATAATTATTCATCCGCGGTTAAAATCAAGACGATAGGCGTGTTTATGCTCACTTAAAATAAGAAATATGGAATAATAAATAAGGTTGCGATTGATCGTTCATGCATAAACGCAACCATTACTTTACACAGTTTTAACTTTTTATCTTATTTCTTATTTTAAGTATGTAACATTTCTCGGAATCCACGTTTAGTGTTGCATGCGTTATCTGTTCAAGCAAGAACGCGGCTTAAAATTTGTACTTTTTAGTAAAAAAAATTTAGTATTAATCTGTGCAATATCGTCGCCTTGAAAAAATACATATATCCCAGGTAGCACACTGACCTTTATATGACGTCTTCTGACGTTTAAATGACGTTAGCAACGTCATTTCAACGTCATATAAACGTCAGCAGACGTCAGTGTGCTACCTGGGATACATGTATATGTATATGTATACATGTATATGTATACATATTTGTTTCACGTTAGCGTAAAATCTACTTATACTGCCTTCAATATCTAACTTAAAATAAAAATAATGGAAACAAAGTGAATAGAGGAAATTTTTTAAGGTTCAATACATTAACGACGCCAACCCACCTTTCCAACTCTGAACTGTCCTCTAGCTCTTCAAACTCTAATATAATTAAGTATAATATTGATACCACAACTGAATTGAGTTCAGGTAGTGATAGTTTTGCTTCTGCCTCGTTTATTACTGATAAAAGTTTATTGGTGGTTGGACAAAATAAAGAAAATCATTTAGATGATGAGCATGAAATTGAGCAAGAGACTGACATTGTTATGAAAAATGATTTTAGTAATAACAGCGATTTCAGTGATGATAATGATTCTCATAAAAATTCTTTTGAAGAAACGCATGGTTTTAGATTTGAAGAAAACAAAGGTAGTGGTTGATTTGTAAAGCCGGTTTCATATAGATGCGAATTGAGAAATGCGAAAAATGCTCCCATTGGTCCATTTGATTTGGCGGGAAAAGCGTTTCGATGTTTCGACAGATTTTGCGAATTCGCAAGATTTGAAATCTGGGGGGCGGGAATCTTGAGATTGATTCAATATTCTGCGAAAATCGCACGAATTTGACGTGATACGCATGCGTTGCTCATGCGCATTGCTTATCGTACAAATAAACACTTGTTTTCGCCCGCCATTTATAGTGTTTGTTTACGATATATATTTGTTATATTCTACACACCTCTTTATATAAAAAACAAATAGAAAATGTTAGGCTATACACGTTATATAAAAAATAAACACGTCAATTATCACCTAGTAAGAAAATAATATCCCTAAAATTGTATGGCAAACATAGCCTAGTGAGAAAAAAATGTCCCTAAAATTGTTACGAAAATTCGCATCTATGTGAAATAGGACTTGCGAAATGCGAATTTTCGCAATTCGCATTTCGCATCTATATGAAACGGGCTTAAGATGTAGTATTAAAACAAAACTTAAAAAGTAGCGTATTTACCTTGCTTTGCTAGTAGATAGTATCTTTGATTTTTATAGAGGCTTTTATAGTAGCTTTTACTGCCCGATTTGTAAACACATTTTTTTATTATAATAATCAATATTGTATTAATACAATGTATTAATACAAGTTTTTTAAAGAAAATTAATTGACTAATAGTCAATTCATTTTCTCAATGATATGCTGATGCAACTTGTTTTTGCAGTTACCGATTCTAATATTAGTATGACAGTATAAGCTTTTTTATTTATTTATGTTATACAGGGCGCTATATAACTGATTTATTTTTACTCTTTATTCTAAAAAGATTTAAATTATTTTAGATATGAACTTGAATTTGTCCAATTCTGAAATAAATTCATTCGATTATCCAAGCGATCCTTATTTATTTAAAAATACCCATTTGGACCCAGGAAAAATCCGGGAACTTATTTCTATAGGACCCTGTCAGCCGGGTTTAGCAGATGACTATAATGTATTTCCAACATGTACTGGCAACAGAAAATTTTTAACAAGTTGGTACCAAACAGAAGGAAACATTCGTAGCTGGCTTATTTACTCCCCCAGGGTCAATTCCCTATTTTGTTTTTGCTGTTGGCTGTTTAATAATTCAAATCAAACTGTTTGGTCTGATCCAAAAAATGGTTTTAAAAATTTTAAAAAGGGACCAGAAAAAATAAGTCAGCATGAAAAAAGTCATTTGCACCGAATGGCTTATAATAAATTAGTTATTACTAAATTACGCCTTAGTAAAGATTTAACAGTTATTGAACAGCAAATAAGCAAAGAGAAATTAGAAGTTACCAAAAATCGAGAGGCGATTAAACGTTTAATCGACATTATATTATATTTAGCAAAGCAATCCTTGCCTCTAAGAGGTCATGATGAGTCTGAAAAAAGTCAAAATAAAGGCAATTTTTTAGAGCTCGTAAATCTTATTAAAAAATATGATGCGGTACTGGCAGCGCATTTGGTTGATGCCTCAAAAGTGGCAAAATATACAAGCAATAAGATTCAAAACGAACTTATCGATCATTTAGCTCGTGAAGTTTTAAGTCTTATTACAAAAAACATTAAAGAAGCAACATATTTTTCCTTAATTGTAGACTCAACCCAAGATTTTAACAAAAAAGAGCAATTATCTTTATCATGCCGATACGTAAATAAGTTTGGATTGCCTGAAGAAAGTTTTCTTGCTTTTATTAATATACCTGATGGTTCAGCTCAAACCTATTTTTCAACTATCACGAATGAGCTAAATAAGTTGAATATCGACATAAGGTTTTGTAGGGGTCAAGGGTATGATGGGGCCAGTGTTATGTCCGGACACATAAATGGACTACAATCAAAAGTTAAGGAAATAGTACCAGAGGCAATATATGTGCATTGCTGTGCTCATAATTTAAACCTGGCGTTAGTAGATGCTGCCTCCTGCAATGCAGAAGTAAAATTATTTTTCGGGACATTGGAAAAAACTTATGTTTTTATCACAGAGAGCTTTCCTAAAGTAAACCTTTTTAAAAACATTCAGGAGAAGCATTCCGAAAATTTGGTAAAAAAATTAACTTTAAAAAAACTTTCTACAACAAGATGGGCCAGTCATTTAAGGGCTGTTACTTCATTTTATGTGAATATTCAGGTTATTGAAGAAACATGTAAAAAAATAGTATCTGGTGAGTTAAAAAACACGACAAGTCTTCAAACTGCCGAAGCTTCAGGAATTTTAAGTGTCATTGAAACTTTTGAATTTAAATTTCTTCTGTGCTTTTGGAAAGAAATTTTAACGAAAATAAACATTTTGTCTAATTACATGCAAAACCCCAAATTAAATATTTGCACGGCATCTGCAATGATTTTAAGTACCAAGAAATGTATTGAATCAATTAGAAATTCGCATGAAAAGTCATTTTTGATTTTTAAAAAGCAAGCAACAGAATTAGCTATGAAGTGTGGAACCACTACTACATTTGCAAATAAACGGATAAGGACAAAAAAATTTCATGACGACATTCAAAGGGATTTTGTTATCGAAAATGCTGAAGAAAAATTTAAAATATCTATGTTTTACACAATTTTAGATGTATTTATAACAACTTTGTCCAGTAGATTTAAAGACTTTATATCCCTTGCACAAAAATTTTCATGTTTGGTAAAATTTCAAGATAATGAAGAAAACATTAAATGTCTTATGGATCTTCAAATATTTTATAGCAAAGATGTGGGTACTTCGGTTATTGACGAATATAGAATGTTTTGTGGCCTTTTAACGGAAATCCAAAATGACAATAATAATCTTTCAACAGAAGAATATTTGCCGTTTTTAATTTCAAATAATTTAGTTTCGTCATACTCAGCTCTATGCAATCTATTAAAAATTTTTCACACCATACCAAATAATAGCGCAGGAGCGGAAAGAACTTTTAGCAGACTAAACAAAATTATTAACTATCAAAGATGCACCATGACACAGGAAAGGACAAACAACTTGGCCTTACTATGTATTGAATCTGAAAAAGCACAAATGATAGATTACGATAAGGTTTTAGATTCTATTAAAGGTGTAAAAACACGAAGGTTGTTGTTATAATTTAATTTTAATAAATATTGTTAATATAAACTAATATGTATTTTATTAAACACGTCACTAATAATAATTATTGTCAGTTCGTTTACTATTATACCTGATTTTAAGTCCCTATTTTTTATTAAATAAAAAAATTGCCGCCCTTAAGATAGCTCGCCCCTCCCGCCCTTAGACCCACGGCACGCTACTGCAACCAAGCACAAAGTACAAATTTGTGCTTCCAATAGAAAGCTTAAAGTTGCACTTTTCCGAGGAGCGAGCGTTTTTTTACTTTGTCGCTCGCCGAGCGACAAAGTTACTTTGTCGCTCGCTTAGTTACCATGGAAATCATAATAAAAAAACGTTTAGTGTATTTGCGACTTTTGACACATACGTCAAATTTAAGGTTATCACTAATTATTAATGTAACATATGTAACATACGTATAGAAACACCGGTTGTAGAAAAAATCCTGTGTGGAATTCGAGCGCAAAGTGACATTGCCGCTCAGAGCGGCAATGTATCACTTTGCGATCTTAATACACAAATAGCAATTATGTTGAAAATGGATATTTTTATTGATTTTAAATTACATTTATGTATAAAATATAAATGCATACCTACACACACACATTTATTTATTTTTTAATTATTTTGTATATACAACTAAATTTCATTAAAAAAATTGCTTAAACAAAAAACGGGCTGATTTGCGATTTTGGTTTTTCGATATTTTGACTTCTAATTACAAAATAAAACATACCATGCAAGAAAATTTAGAGTTTCTTTCAACTTGCATTTAAATTACAGCTAATATTATGCCAATTGATATTGAAATTTCCAAAAGACATGCCCTTTCCAATATCAAAAGATGCAAACCTGCCGAACATCTGGGAACATTTTGGACTGATAACTTTCCAAAAATTTCAATAGCTAAAGAACTATTGCAGAATTTGAGTTTAAATAAATGGCAAATTTTATGGGATTCATACCCTAATGGTAGACTTACTTACCAATTTATCCCTTCTGTAATTGAAAGACAATATATGAACATAACCCATAATAAAGCTTTATCATCAATTTTATCTGGTCATGGAAGATATAGAAGACATTTTCATAAAGTCGGAAGATTGGAGAACCCTTTTTGCCCCCATTGTCATTCCACTGATGATTCTTTACATAGAATTTCTGCTTGTCCATTATACGATGAACCTCGTCAAATTTTGATTGATTGTACCCCTTATTGGCCTATTTCACCTTCTAATCTTTTAAAATTTTTGATTGATAACAACAAAACAGACTTATTGACACCATTTTCCATTTGCGAAGATTTACCTTTTCATTAATTACTCTTTAACTATACATTTATTGTAAAACTGATTGCATTTGCCTTTCTGGAGAGTGATTTCTTTTCTTTATACAGTAATATTATTATTACTATTTCTTTATAAATAATATAATTTTTTGAAAATACTTTTACATTCATCTATACTCTGAGATTATATTACATTCATCTATAATCTGAGATTATATTATTAATAGATGAATTTCTGATTTATTAAAATCAACTTTATTTTTAGATTATTTTATATTAAATTTTTTTGTAATATCTTGATAAAGCAAAAATGTTAATTAAATCTAATTTTTATTTTTTTTTCTTAAATTCTTACAAGGGTTGTAGGTACCTTGTAACACATATGTGTATCTTTTTGAGTAGAGTTTCTCATTTGTTTTGATAATTTATTATTATTGAATCACCATATACTGATGTCATTTTTGCTTTCTTCAATTTAATTTTTAATTCAAAATGTATACAATTCTCCTTCTATATATGTTAAATAACTAAAATTTTATAATTATGTACACTCTTAAATAAATAAAAAATTGAAAAAGAGAGTGGTTTGGCACTGGGTATGTGGGTGGGGCCTCCTCTCTCTTTTTTTTTTTTTTTTTTTTTTTTAAATTACTTAAGCCCTACCGGGAGGAGTACAAATGTGTTTTGATTTTACTAGTAGGGCGCCACCAACGGCCTTTAGAACAACTTTTCATAACTTCTTTTACGTCAAGTATACCTTATAGCTTTGAATTGAAATCGCTAGGAGTAACCATTTTCCAGATAATCGAATTTTAAATTTCCTATTTAACTACAAATTATTGTAATTTAGCTAAATTTACTAATTTTACTTTTTACGTTTAAAAGTTTATATTATTTAAGATACTAAAGATAAATTTATCTTTAAGTGGTCTATAATTAAAACTTTATTATTTTATTATATTACTCACTACTAAAGTGATTAATTATCGCCTAGGCTGTAAACATTATTAAGACCAACCGGGTAAAGTTTTTTATCCCCTAGGCTGTAAAAATCCCGTTTGGACTAATCGAACAGTAAATGTTGACTTCATAACTTGACTTTCTACTTGTAATAATAATTTTTATAATTATTGTACGTTTCAGTTATCGTTTAACAAATTAAATTGTGATTTGAAGGTAAAATAACGTACGCCGATGAAAAGAAGAAAAAAGATCGAACATTTTTAACTAACACTAACATCATTATTTAAATCGGTAAATTTCAAAAAGACTAAAAAAATAAAAATAATTGCAAAAAACCCTATTGTACATAGGGTTGTGGAATTGACCGGTCAAATTGTTTTTGGTCAATTGACCAGTCAATTGACCAAAATAAAATGAAATAAAATATCAAAATAAATATTACTGCGATTTATTTGTACTTAATAAATATGTAATTAAAATACGTTACCAAATTTTTTTTATTATAAAAGTTATGTCAATCTTTAGAAACGTTTGTGCGGCTTTAAAAAGTTATGTTTCGCTATTAAAAAAGATATGTCCCGCTTTAAGGGCAACGCGCCGACCAAATTGTAAATGATATCGATATTGCACGATCGCAATTTTGAGATTCACGGGTAATTGTTGATTATCTGGAAAATGGTTACTCCTAGCGATTTTAAATAAAGCGTAAGTCACAGACCAATGACGTCTTTGACGTGAAAAAGACGTCATCTTAAGACGTCTTTGTATGTGTAAAATACGTTAATTTACGTTATTATTTAGTTTCAGCAATATTCAAATATGCACACTTTTAAAATGATTTAGGTGCAGAAAAGGCACTTTTTCTTGCAATTGGGCTGTAAAATAAGCAATCCAAATATTTGGACAATTTAATGAAATTTCTAGTAATATTTCTTTAAAGGCCACATATTTGATATATATCACTTTTTAAAAAATATAATATTACTAGCAATTTCATTGGATAGTTCAAAAAGGTAAATTGCTTAGTTACAGCCCAATTGCAAGAAGAATGTTATAATTATACCCCTATGATGACCATGGTCAGTTTGCAAAATTTAGTGTATTATCTTGGATCCTATCTGCGTATCTATTTCATGGTTGTGTAGGATGCTCTTGTCTTTTTCTTCTTTTGTAAGTCCGATGGGTAATAGGTAGGAGTAATCAAAATCACTCACGTTCAAAGACAATTTCTTTGCTCACGTTTTTTGTTGTATCATGAGTCATGATTCATGACCCACGTTGATGTCAAATAATATCAACGTTGCCACGTAGCGGTTGGTAGGGTATTAATAGCTTGGTGATTAGTGATTAATAGCTTGGTGATTAATAGGGGTAGGTTATACAAATTTTTGCTTGAATTAATATATTATTAATTATAAGTTTTGTATTACAATTTAAGCAGAATCCTTGTTTATTCATGATTTGGAAACAAAAGCTGCAATTTGACAACTGTGTCGCTCCGACATAAAATGACAAGCGGGTAATTTAAATATTTATTGTTAAAGAAAATGAAAAAAGATTTATTATAGATAAACATTATGACAAAGCAAACTTTTAATGCAAGTAATTTTTTGCATTTTTCAAAAAATATAATATTAAAAGTTTTATTAGCGGGCTTTCAACTATAAGAATAGTTTTTTTCTTAATAATTATAATTATTATAATAAAATTTATATGTACCTATTTATAAAAAAATATTTTCATCAGTGGCGGCTGGTGGATTTTGGGCACACCCATATCTCAGTTATTAGACATGGGACCCACATCAAATTTATATGATTTATAATATGCGCAAGCAGAATTTAAATTGAAGTTTGCGAAAAAAGTTAGTTTTTCAGTGTGCCCCCAGCCTCCTGCCCCCCAAATTAAGATAATTCAAAATAAAGTTGTACAATATTTAATTCACTGATGTTTATCGACAAATTTAAATTTTATTAAAAAAAATCGAGTATTACAGATTTTATACCATTTCTATTTTTTTTAAATTTAGCAAAAGAAATAATAAAAATTGGCGTGTTTATTACGTAAGAACTATGACGTATAATATACGTCTGAAAACTGCGTTATGTTGACGTCATATCGCGACAAGAAGACGTCAGATGACGAAAAATCACCAATATTTGACGTATTAAATACGTCAGCCTGCTATATACGTCATAACTGCCCTTGTGGAAATATTTCTCTGAGAAAGTTTTAATAAGAGTTACTTTCTCTTAAAAAGTCTGAATAATACTTATTAAGTCGGAAAAAGTCAGAATAAGACTTCTTCTGGAAGAGTTAATAAGACTTTTTAAGACTTAATAAGACTTTTAGCAGAGAATTGGTAGGTACCTATAGCAATTAAAATAAATATCCGGAATTAATCAGAGATGTTGTATTTGAAAATAAAACCATGGTTATTGCAAAAGAAAGCACAATGATAAGGATTTATAAACACTGTTTTTTTGTTGTTATAAGGCAATGTTTACAATATAGGTAAACAAAGTTTATTTTAATTGAACAGAATAAAACAGTTTGGAGATAGGTTCCTACCATTTCTCTGCAAAAAGTCTTATTAAGTCTTAAAAAGTCTTATTAACTCTTCCAGAAGACTCCCAAATCTTGCTATTAGTCTGACTTACTAAGACTTTTTCAGACTTTTTCCGACTTAATAAGTATTATTCAGACTTTTTAAGAGAAAGTAAGACTTTAAAAACTCTTATTTTTACTTATTAAAACTTTTTCAGAGAAAAATTTCCACAAGGGTGAAGATGTACATTAGGGTGGGCCACTTCTGTATGGCGAAAAATGTTTTTCCGGATTTTCACCGGGCACAGCAAGAAAAGGGTGCTAAATGACGTCTCTATATCACATATAAAATTTGGTGCCAATCTAATTTCATCTTTTGCCTCCGGATCGGCCTTGAAAATTGATAATATTGAAAAAAATTTTTTTTTTGTTAAAACGCAACAATAAGGTTAAAAAAGTTTAAAAAGCACTATTTACAAAATAAGACACAATTTTATCAAATATATTTGTTTATTAATACAAAAAGATAGAAAGAAACATAATATTACATAACATTAAGCAGTAACGAAATCTTTCCCATGGGAAAGTATCGTCTAAGATCGTCAAAAAAAAAGACGAAAATTCGTCCAATGACGATCGCCTATAAAAGACGATCGCCTTAAAACGATCTTCTTAAATGACGATCGCCTTAAAGACGAAAATTCGTCCAAATAATGATCGCCTCAAAAGACGATCGTCTTCAAAAGACGATCAACTTGAATTCGAAAAACGAGAAAATATAGACAATAGAAATACATTGTTTTAAAAATAAGTATTTAAAAGACAATTGTGATATGTAATCGTCATTCGTCGAATTTTAAGTACTAATTGTTAATGGTTGAAAATAAATAAGAAAAAAGAATAATTTCTTAAAATTAAGTTAAATTAATTTTAAGTCCCTTTAACCCGACCCCCCACATTGTAACATGTGCATCTGACTTGTATGCTCCTCTAGAATTAATACATTTTGAAAATTTTGTCGAAAAATGTATTTTTATGACCATCGCTGATATCGATGATAATAATAATAGAAATTATATTAAATATACATTGTATATATATATATATATATATATTATACAAGCAACAAATTTTGTTGGTTTCCTAATAAGTTTAGTACACTAAATACTACTAAATATTATTTAAATAACCCAAAAAATCACCCCTAAATTTTTTGTTAAAAAGTAACATAATTAAACTAATTCAAAACAAAACGGATTTGCAAAAATCATCACAGCACAATATATTAAAAAAATAACCGAAGAAATCGCCCCTTAAATTTTTGCCCAATTTTAAGTTATCACCTTGTATATTAACGATTTAAAAATTACTAAAAATTTCCATTTAAATTTTTTAATTAAAAGAATTTAAAAATTATAATTCTTTATATCTGAACCTAGAAATATTAGGGGGAATTGTTTATGTCTCACATTCCTGCTTGAAGTGGCCCAGATGTTTAAAATATAGAATTAGGGAAGAAAGAGGCAGAAGAGTGTCCCATACGCATCCTAAAAAGTTTGTGATATATATATTATAATATAACTATTGTGATTGTTACCGATTTTCTGCTATAATTAGGTATGTACACTTTTATAAATTGTAATTTTTGCTAGCAATGATAAACAACTCCTCGTTTTGGGTTTTCTTAAAATATTTTTGCTTATAATTTTAACATTATTTAATTTGCATCTTAGTCGTTTATCATTGCTAGTTTATTGGGTCCTAATCATTTTAATATGTGTAAATAGCGAGTGATTTTTAGTAATGATTTTTATTGTATCACATTTCATTATTTTGGTTCAATATCTTGGGATTGCGCATAAAACTGAGTTTTCAATCTTTATGTTGTCGCGTTCATCATATACACTGAATTACATTTATCTTAAGTTGTCTTTATTTTACGGTACACTAACCTTTGTATAAATAACGTTGTTTTGTTGTGTCATTTTGTATAACTTTGTATAACCTTTTTTATTTAACTGAAATGTATTTTATTGTTTATGAAACTCAGTGTATCATCTCGGTATTAAGGTATTTATTTATTTTAAATCTTTGCATTTGTACTCAGGCTAAAGCTTTTAACAATTATATAATTATTATCATATGGGTATTACTTGGGTAAGGTTTATAAAATGCTTTTATTATTATTATTGCTATTGTTATTATTATCACATAATTTGATAATATCATGGTAAGGTAATAGTACCGATTTTTTTTTTTTAAGAGGTTTTGGAAATCTGCTAACCAGACCCTCCGGCCATTGGTGTTCTGGCGACCGGCGGAGTGTGGGGATGGATTTCTCCGACCCACTAAAACCCTATCCTCTCTTCGTGGACCCCCAACAGGAACCGCCTATAGGCATTACTTCTGTTGGGCCACGGGAGACTATTGTCCTCCTCCTTCTATTCGTCGCGAGTCCTCGAGGTCCTTGGTGGTGAGGAGCCGTCTTAGGAACCCAGCCACAGCCTTCCAGTTCTCCTCGTCCTGCAGCATTATTCCAATAATGTTTTCTGGCTCTATCGCGACGCCGACTGCAAAACCCAAGCGGATCCTTTCCTGTTCCCATCTTACACATTGGAAGATAGTGTGCTCCACTGTATCGAGCATCTCGCCACAGTCCATGCACGCGGGAGTCTCTCGTCTTTTGAAGCGGTGGAGGTATGCCCCAAAAGCACCATGCCCTGTTAGCATCTGGGTGACAAAGTAGTTGACCTCTCCGTGTCTCCTTCCATACCATCCTCCAAGCTCTGGGATGAGCCTTCTTGTCCATCCTCCAACCGTCTCCACGCGCCTTTGGTCCTGCCATTCGGCAAGTGTTTCCTCCCGGATCTCCGTTGGTGTTCTGTCCGGGCATAGGGCCCTTCTCCTTCTTTCGTTCACCAGCAGGTCCAAAGGCAAAATCGTTGCCGAAACCATGGCCGCTGGGCCGGATACCGTCCGGTAAGCACTGCAGATCCTCAGGGCCATTCTGCGCTGCAGGTGGTTCACCGCGTTCCTGTGCATCTTGTGTCGCATGGCATCTGCCCAAAAAGGGGCTGCATTATGCAGCCCGCATACAACATGCGCGACACCCCCACGCCACACAGGAGCCGTCTTACCCCCGCTCTAGGTCCGCCAACGTCAGGCATCAGCCTTGCAACCCGCTTGGCCGCCTCCTCTGCCCTGGGTAGGGTTTTCGTAATATGGATGCCCATGTTTTACCCGCGTCCCAACCATACTCCCAGGTACTTTATTGCCTGCCCAGATCGGATTGTGTGGCCGTCTACCGTGACCGCCAGTTCTGGCATCCTCCTTGATCCGACCAGCACAACGGACTCTGTCTTGTGTGCAGCAAGTTGTAACTCATTGCCCCTTATCCACTCAGTGACCGTCGCCAGTGCACTGTTCAGTTTGGCCTCCAACTCCTCTCTCTTTCTTGCAACCCCCACCATCGCCAGGTCGTCCGCGTACCCGAGCAGTGTCATGCCATCCGGCATCGGCAAACCCAGCACCGCACATAAGGACGAACGGCCACATTAGCGCGCCAAAAATAGAAAAATGAACTTTAAAAAAATTAGTCAGAAACATCATTAACACGTTGTCAATAGACCAGTCCACAATAAAACGTATTTTTTTATATATATATTGTATACAAAAGACTCAGCACCACCCCAAAGTTGACCTTTTATTCGCACTACTATGAAGTACTCGCGCGTAAAAGTTGACAGAATTAGAATGCTTGTCCTATGACTCTAAATGTAAAATCAAAAGTTTTTTTAGATGTGTTTGGAAGTTTATGGCATATACTTTTATATGTAATTATTGTTATTAAACGAATTATACATGGAAAAGTAAGAATATATGTTTTATGAAACAGAATTTTTACGAAAAAAAAAATTAAAAGTATAACTTTAGATAGAGTTTTAAAAAAAGTTCCGCAGAGTTCCGCCTACATTTTTGGCTACCATATAGCGTATCTTATTACCAATATGAGCATGTACATTTTAGTTCCAGCCGAGTCCAGGTTTTAGAGATTTTTTTATCAAGTAAGTCACAGTGAACATGTTAAAAAAGCTAGCCATACAAAAAAACATTATACTTTGTTAATATGTAATGAACCAATTATAAAATATTAGATCATAAGTTTTCTTAATCTTTTCTTAATCTGCATTACCTGAAAGTAATTGTTGTTAATTATAATTAATTATTAAGGTAATTATTATAAATAAGATAATTTACCTGTATTTACAAGTATGTATAATAAACTGTTTACTTGTATCTATCGGTATTTAATGGAATTAAAATGTTTTTAAATAATACCTAAATTTACCTTAATTATAATATAAACTATGCCACATTATTGCAATTAAACTTTATCATTGGATTAGCGTTTGATTAAGTCTTATAAACATGAACATCAAGAGAGAACTGCAAACATTTTTTTAAGATGTCGACATTGAAATGTAATATTCATATAATGCAGTATATAGTGGAAAAAATTGGTGCTGGTGTATTTCCTGAGCAATATATAGCCCAGATAAAGGATGTAGTGAAATTATTGAAAAAATGGCGTGAAAGTTTTCACTCTTACAAACGTTTTATCAACACAAATAAGAATTGGCTTAACCATGAACTAAGTTTCCCAGAAATTGAGTCATTCCAGTCACCTGTATCACGAGGCAGACCTTCAAAATCATTTGAGGAAAAGTCACAGCGGAGTAGACAGAGAGATGTGCAACCTATTGTTTTAGATTACAGCACAGAACAACTATGCTTGGCAGCAGAAACAAGTTTGGTAAAGTCAGGCCAGAGAAATGTTGCACAAGTTATAAAATTGGCCACCGAAACATCGCCAAGAAAATTGAAAAAAATGAAAGAGGTACATGACGCACCAGCTCCCACTTTAAGACCGTACAGCCCTGAAGAAGCTCTGGGTCTTATAGTAGATCTTGGATTAACAAAAGAAGACTACATTACTATAAGACTTGGAGCAAAAGAAAGAGGGGCAGATATTTATCCCTCTTATCATTTAATTGGAGAAGCAAAAAAAATGCTATCCCGCCAATGTCGTTATCACTGAAAACGAAGCTAAAGTGCCATTGCTTGATCTTCTTGTTCATACTTCAGAACGATTGGCAGAAGTACAGTCTGATGTAATTTTAGAAAACATCACAGATAATTGTGATACCATCGACATCCATTATAAATGGGGCTTAGATGGACATAGTATATATAAACAAAATTTTTCAAATAACACAGAGTACGCGGACTCTAATAATATTATTATCCTATGTACAATTGTACCACTGCAGATGTCCCAAGGCCAGAAGATATATTGGAAGAATCCGACACCGTCTTCGACAAGGTATTGCCGACCAATTGTATTTAAAATACAAAAGGAAAATACCTCCAATGTTAAGGAAATCTACAGCGACATCGAAAGTCAAATTTCAAAAATGGGACCAACATTGCATATCTTAGGGAATAGAGAAATTAAATTTAAACATCTCCTTATATGTAAGATGCTGGATGGTAAAACCGTGAACATTCTGAAGGACACAGCAAGCTCCCAGGCATGTAATGTTTGCAAAGCCACTCCAAAGGACTTCAACAATTTAGAAGTGGTAACAAAAAGAGTTTGTGCTGAAGAAACTTTTAAGTACAGTATTTCTGTGCTACATGCCTACCTAAGGTGTTACGAATATTTATTACATATAGCATATAAGTTGGAGTTAAGGCAGTGGCAAGCAAGGGGCGAACAAGCTAAGGCTCAAGTTAGAGAGAAAAAAAGTGAACTGGCTACTCGATTTTATAATGAAATGGGCCTCGTTGTTGATCAGCCAAAATAAGGCGGAGGCAATAGCAACGATGGGAATACTGCTCGTAAGTTTTTTAAAAATCCCTTGTTGGTTTCCCACATAACTGGTATCGACAGAGAACTGATCGAAAAATTTGCCAATATTCTCTCCATCATTTCATGTGGGTACTACATCCAAGAGGATAAATTTAAAATATATTGTCAGAAAACTGCAGAGTTGGCCATAAACTATTGATTCATCGGGGTGACATTATTAAATCACTTCCTTTGTCAGTAGGCCAATTATCAGAGGACGTTATTGAAATGGGGCACAAGGAATACAAAAAATTCAGGCAATATTATTCCAGAAGAACGTCTAGAGAAAATACGAACATGGATATATTTAATTGGATGTTGGTATCTTCTGACCCTATTATAACAAATAGGCGAAAAAAAGCGAAAAAAACGAAGAGTAAATATAATGAAGTGGTCTTAAATATGTTAAGAACTCCTACCTTCTGTAGCGGTAATGAAGAATGGGATACGGAAGAAGAGGAAGATGGTGAATGCTAATATGTTCAATTTATTATGTTTAATATTTTACGACCTATTGTATATTAAATTTTAAATAAATATTTTGATTAAGGGTTTTTGTCTAATTAGTATTTTTGATATCCTCTTTAAACCTATTATTATTTTGAGATTTTTTTTTGTAAAGTCATTTTTAAGAAAATTAATGGTTATGGTAAAAAATAACACTCGGTATAGTAAATTAAAGTTTTGAATATAATTTTATTTAGCGCTAATAAAAACCTTTTTATCCTACATAAAAATTGTCTACCTATTTTTTTAACACTTAATTATTTTCTTTTAATTACACAAAATAATCAAGAAAATAACAAAACTTTGCATTTTTTTAAGATAAACATTAAATCAAGTCCTTAAAAGCATTTTTTATCATCATAATCGCAAATAACCCGTTTTAATATTTTTGGCGCCGTAATTTGGTGATTCGTCCGTATGTGCACCGGGTCATACATGACGTTCCAAAGTAACGGGCCCAGCACCGATCCTTGAGGGACGCCGCATGTCATGGGGATGGCTGCTCCATCCACCCAGACAGTCCTGCCCTTTAAGTAGGCCGCCACGGTCTGCACCAGGTAGGGCGATATATTTCTCCCGGAGAGCTCTCTGAGGATGGCCTTCCATGATGCACTGTTAAAAGCGTTTTTAACATCTAGCGTGATCAGGGCACACAGCTTCCGATGCGTGTACGATATTCGTCTAACCTCCTCTACCAGACTAGCTAGCGTGTTTGTGTGGACCTGCCTGGTCGAAACCCATGTTGTCTGTCCGACAGTTCGGCCCTCTCCTCTAATTCCCTTCTCAGTCTTGCGACAAGGATCTGTTCAAATAGCTTGCCTGCTGCATCAAGCATGCAAAGTGGCCGGTAGGTCTGCTCCGGCCCGCTGCTGGCTTTAGGTATCAGGACCAGTCGAGCCCGTTTCCATTCCTCTGGGAAGGCCCTTCTTCGGAGCAGGTTAGTGAAGACTGAGGCCGCCCAGTCTGGAGCTGCCTCCGTTGCCCATTTTGCCACTTCGGGTGGTATTCCATCCATCCCCGGGGCCTTTCCGCTTGACAGCCTACTTGTGGCTATTGCGACCTCTTCCACCGTGACAGCTGGGACTTCGGTCTCATCGTCCCCGCTGTCGTAGCGCTCCCAATTGATGGCCCTTGCCTTTGGAAAAAACAGGCTTGAAATTCTCAGCTGTTCATCTTTCTCGAGGGGGGGGACTCGGGCACCCAGCTTGCCAAGTACTATTTTGTACCCCTGTCCCCACATATCGTCGTCCACCTCGCTTAAGAGCTTTTTCCAGCAGGACTCCTTGGACTTCCTAATGGCCAGCTTCAGGGCTCTTTTTGAGGTTTTTACCGCCTCGCAGAATCGGTCCAGTGTCTCCAAGGTCTCGCGGCGTCTTTTTGCCCTGGTGAGGTTCCTGCGGGCCAGTGTGCTTTCATCCCTTGCTTTGGCTATTTCGTCCGTCCACCAGTACTTTGGCTTTCTGGTTGCATTGTAGATAACTTTCCGGCAGGCTGTCCTGCAGGCATCCGTCAGCGCTGCCGTCCAGTGCTCTGCTTCTGCGGTGTGGGCTCTTTGCCTGGCGTGGGCCCGTATTACCTGTTGGACTCCTTCGCGTTTGCTAGGGGTTGCCCTCCATCGCTGGCTGGTGGTTTCCCGTGTAGGGGCAGGCCGTTCCGTCGTGATCGTAAAGAGAATATCCCTATGATCACTAAGGTTTTCATCCTCCCTTACTGTCCAGCTCTCTACTCGGGCAGCCAGGGCCAGGGATGTGGCCGTAACATCCAGAAACGACTCGCTCAATCTGCGCGTGAAGGTAGGGGTCTCGCCCTGGTTGATCACGTGGAGGTTTAACGCCGCTAGCGTGTCGGCCAAGAGTCTTCCTCTGACATCCTCGACTGTGCCTCCCCACAGTGGTGACTTTGCGTTAAAATCGCCGCACGCCAGGGTATTGCCAGCCGTCATCCTTACCATGCCGTCCATGCGCCCCAGGAAGGCCTCGAAGTTTGCCAGTGGCACGTTCGGGGAGATGTATCCCGCTATAACCAGCAGGGATCCTGCCTTTGCACTTATTATGCCATCCGCAGTGGTGACAACTACTAACCTGGCGCCCTTTAGAGCCACTAGAGCAACGTCTTCTCGCGGGTCGAGGATTACCCCCATGGCCTTCGCTCTAGCTCGATTTGGCTCTGAGGCAATCAGAAAGTCCACCCCCTCTGTTGCGGCGGTTTGCAGAGCCAAGTCCCATGCCCCTCTGCTGCGATTTTGGTTTGTCTGCATGAACCTTAGCTTGCCATGCTGTGGGAGATTGACCTGTCCTCTCCTCCCCCTTGTGCCTGTGCTGTCGCAGATGCGGGGGGCAAGTGAAAATCCACTGCTTTGTCTGCGTCTGCTGGCTCGGTTGTCTCCATTGCAGTTTCGTCTGTGCCTTCTTTCGGCGCACTGCCTGCTGTTGGTCGCAGGCAATCCTTCCGTTGTGGCTCCGCATTCAGGCCCATGCACTTTCCGGAGCCTATCCTGTGGCCTTCCTTTCCGCATTTTAGACACCGCTCCGGTCCTTGACATTGTCTAGCCTTATGTCCATCCTTTCCACACTTGTAACAAGAAGCCCAGCGGTCTGGACCCTTGCACTCTTTCGAGAAGTGCCCCACTTCAAGGCACCGGTAGCATTTTTGCTCATTTGTCATGTGCCTGACTCGGCATCTTACCGGCCCGACCATGATGTTCGTCAGTCCTATCAGTTTGTTCACCGTGTCTCTTCCTGCAGAGAAGGTGGCAGCTTGTGTGCTTCCATAGGTCTTTCTGAGCCGAATGACCCTTAGGCTTGCCCCGTCACCAGCTGCTATCCGTAGCGCCTCAGTGACCTCTTCCTCTGTGGCCAGAGCATCCATGTTCGTAATCTCGGCCAGCCGAATACCTCCTGCAACCCTGGCTGGAGCGTGGTCATCTCTAAGGGTGTCTGCTAACTTCTGGGCTTCCGCGTTGCTCCCGGTTGTTTCCACGATTACGTCCCCTTTTCTGGTCTCCCTTATGGCTTTGATGGCCACCTCCGGTGTCAGCGTCTTCAGCCTTTCTTTGACGCTCTTTAGAGTCTCCCTTACTCCCCGTACTGATGATCACCGCACCCTCTCGTGTCCTGCCCTTTTTGTCAGTCGGGGCTGACATCGCCTGTCGGGGATTGGCCTGAGATGGGGTTTTTTCGCTTCTTCCGCTCTTGCTCGCCACCTCGCTCCATGTACGAGCTTTGCCCTTGACCCCGTTTTCAGGTCTCGTGAGTAGGACCTTTATATCCTCTTCGTGCCACAGGTCCCTAATCTCAAGCTCTATCGCGTCGTGTCCAGGCAGCGACCCAAGTACCACTTGTCTTATACTTTTCTCCTTGATTTCCCTTCTCAGTTCCCTAAGGCATTCCATTCGATCCTCAGGTGCGGGGGTGTCAAGGTTGCCCTTTTGATAGATCAGATGCCATGTGGCGTTCATCGCCTCCCCGCTTTGGACTCCGTCCACTGTTGAGATGACACGTTGCTCAACTGGTATCGCTCTTCCCGCCGTTGGCACGGCATTTCCAGGAAATCGCTGGTGAAAATCTTCACCGGTAGCCCACCTCGTCCTGGCAAAACCATCCGGGATCTTCTGCGACTTCGTGTGCCATCTGACTTTCAGAGTCGGCTTTGCTTGTTTAGGGCAATTGCAGCCTGTCTCGTTCTCTGTATGGGTGCTCCCCTCGATTCCCGCCGATATCCTTTCCGCGAGGCTATTTTCTCGGGCTAGGAGTTGTGCTTCCCGTGTCCGCAGCTCTTTTTCCATGGCTTCGAGTCGTTTCCAAACGGATTGGAGACTTAGGGTTAAATCTGCTTACCTAAGCGCTTTAATTTGAATACTTGATAATTACTTTTTGGGTGCTATATTTTTTTTTTATAATATTTATTTTATACAGCGCGACACTTTCATGTGGTTTGAGTTTTAGGCTATGTTTATGTGTTTTTGTTATGACGCTCTCCTATTTACCATTTATTGTATTTATTTATATTTTACAACCTTTTATTTTATTGCATATTGTTGATTTTATTTGTGTCTGTATTTGTATTTGTGTCTTGTTGGAAAAGCGTTTTTACTTGAACATCTAAGCATGGGTAATATGAAGGCATTAGGTGAAAGGTGGTGTCGTTATGTTACTTACCTTTAATTTCTGTGTGCAGGCCGTGTTTGTATGCTTTTACAATACTATTGTCTTTTGCTGGACATTGATTTTAATAATAATAATAATAATCTATATGAAAGTTGTAGTTGCTCTTCGTTTATTATTATTATTTTATAGAATCGGATCATCGTACAATAGTTCGAAGATGCGTGGTAAGGTAATCAAATAGTACAAATCTTTGTCATAAAATGACAATCTCTAAGAATGACTTTACCTGAGTATAAAATGTATAGAATATTGATAAAATACCCAAATCAAATGAAATATGTTTATCTGCTTTTCATGTTATTTTATTCACTTATGATTTATATAGTATTCTTGTGTTTTATGACCCATGTTTTAGATGTTTTGTATATTATTTTTATTTGAACTGTGTAAGTCGCCAGGGTTTTTATGGTCCCTTTTCCCTGTGCTCTGACTCAACGGGCCACCCCTTTGTCTTTGCTTAAATTAAATCAGGGGTTTCAAATTAAATACTTGTGTTTCATTAAACCTGACCATTTTCAAAATAACGTTATTATTAATGTTTGTAAATACACAACGTAGAGTTCTAATTTTTATAAAGTAAGTAAATTAACTAGACAAGTATTTCAGTATACTTAAAGAATCGGGTTACGAAAATACATAGTGAACCTTACAATACATTCTATTAATAATTATAATTTATAAATTAATTTAAAAATCATTGTTTATTAAAAGAGATCGCCTAGTTTTAAGATTGTGAAATTCACGATTACTCCTTTTAAAGACGATTGCAAAAGGCGATCTTCATTTTCTGAAGACGATCGATTGCTTAGAATACACGATCGCCTGATTTGTATGATGATCGTCAACGTTTAGATAGACGATCGTCATTTTATTTAGATGATCATCAAATTTATAATGACGATCGCGTATTTTTATTGACGATCGTCAACAAAAATAACAGGCGATCTACTATTTTAAACGACTTTATAGGCGATGTCATCAATATTTGATGATATCGTCTAAAAAATCGTCAATAAAAGAGGATCTTCAAAAAATTCTAGACGATACTTTCCCATGGGTTCTTACTGTCGAATTTCGGCATAACTGTTCGAGACTCTATCTGTGCTTTTATAAATCCTTCTCTATCAGATTTACTACACAAAGTACCTGAAGCTTCTGTTACAGTCTTGACAGCGCTTTCAACTGCTTGTGTATGACTTGGCAGGCGTAGGAAAGATATTTCACTTTCTCCTTTTTGTTCGATAAATAATTGAATATCTTCATCAGGTACACCTTTTAATATTGGTGGTTCAGTAATATTGTCTCGCCAGTTGATAAGGTCGATGTAAGATGATGCATCAAAGTTTATTTTTGGAAGTTGGAACAGTCTTATCCTATTTGTTGTTATGGTGCGGGCTTTTTGAATACGACGGGCAGCCAATTCTCAAATGTGCTTTTGGGGATCAGTCAACATTGCCAGTAACAAATTCTCGGGATGAGCAAAATAACTGTTTCTTTTAATCACAATATCAACTTTGGCTTTAAGTTCAGTAGGTAAGTATATAGATTCAGAGATTAGCTTCCACAGGTGTCGTGCTCCATCTTTACAAGTAGGATGAGTTTTGATGGAAAACCAAGTTAAAGCGTAAACCTTGACAATATAGGTTGCCAGAATAATTAGGTTTTTAGAAGGAACTTCCATAAAGACAAAGAATACGATTAGCACGCGTAAGCCATCGGGCATGAGACATTTTGCCGGGCGACTTGTTTCTTAAATCTTCAGCAAATATACCTGTTATTACCGCAGTGCTATTTTGTATAAATACTTTTGGTCTGTACTAAGATCTTTAGCGGTTATCTCGGGTAACTGCGGGAATAGGTCGGAATTGAACAACGGGCCTTGTTTCACATTTTTTCAGCATTTTGCCAATTGGTCCTGAAAACGTCTGGGGTCCCGATGTTGTGCCATCAACTTCTATGAACAAATGTCGCAGAGGCAATTCGTTCATGTGCAACAAGCAGATTATCCATTGTAATGGCCTATTCAATCTTTGTTCTAGCAAACGTATAATTCCTCTTTTTCCGACGTTTGCGTTCGTTCCATCACACCCAACTGCCAATAAAGATTCCATAGGTATTCTCGATTCCAAAAAGAAATCGTTTATTGTTTGTTCTATGCATTTAGAAGTTCCCGAATTTGGTGCGATATACCCCAAGAACTTGGATTCCGGTTCTTTTATCAAAGAAATATGTTCTTCTAGGATATTCTGTCTGTAATGTTGTCCGTCTTTTTCCGTCATAGTTAAAGTTTTGTCTTTTCGACTGTCGAAGTATAAAGCAGGTACATGTAAAATTTTATTCTGTTCCACAATATTTTCTCTTGTTTTCTTACGCTTCCGGCGAAGCTTATTTTTATCAATAACCCCTACATTGGTGGAATGCAGAACCGCATGTTTTTGATAGTAAAGTGTAATCGATTGTAACGGCAGGCTTAGTTTCAGAAACTGTTGTCGGGGCTTGCAATTGTGGTTGGGGCACGTCATCACGATCGGATTCACTGGATGTGAAAGAAGTTGAAATATTGGGCTCCTCTTTACTTTCTTTTTGAGGCTTACACAGGGATTTTTGCCTTAACAGCTTCCTTTTCAAAGTATTCCTTATTTGATTCGTTGCATCTATATCTACTGTTCCCAGAACCATTTTTCTAGCAGTACGTTGGTCGATTAAAAAGCTCTGTTCCCTTACAGGTATTTTTCTCTCTCTAGGACAAGTACACTTATTGCATCAACCTGATTTCCACTCTCCAACGCGTCTGATAGCTTACAATGATACTCGAGCAAGTTGGTTACTGTGGATTTCCCAGCCCTGAAGCCATGCTGTTCATCAATAACAATTGTTACGATAAAACTAAAACAAACCAATCAACCCAACCCTTTTTAGCAAAAGAACAGCAAATTTATGAAATAAGAAAATAAAAAAAAATCGTCAACTTCTGAGTATCGTAACTCTCGCATGCCAAGCGACTGCTCTACCATCTGAGCTATCTAGGTGACATCAACTTTATAAGTTATAAAGTTGATATAAATTATAACGCTCGGGGAATAAAAACGGATTATTATTATGACGTAACTAACGTGCCTTTAACATTTCGAATCGCCGCACGTTAGCGTGCCTCTAGTCAAAGCGTTAAATAAAACATACCTAAGTAGGTCCCCTCAAAGATAATACACCCCATAGATTGGAAACTACACTAGCGCTAGCGGCAAAAGGCTAAAGTAAATTAACGCCATCAAGGTCTACAATACCCTTAGCAATGCCAAAAATTGAAGTAGATTTCTGTAACATATATTGGCGCCATATTTGAATGTTCGTAGGGTGCCTTTATATATTGTATTTACTGCTGTATTTTAACAAAGTATGAATATAAGATTTATTTATTTTATTAATAATATAATATAAAATAAAATACATACATCTTTATGTACATTGTACATATTAAATACATAATCGGTATATATGAATATGTTTTTGTTTGTGGAGTGCAAACCTAAAAAATGTTAGTCTTAATTTTTCAATAATAAGAGTACATTGCAAAATTTGGTAATTTAGTCCAGGCCACTTATACATATAGGAATTTGTACAAGGCTTTTGAGTGTGGACTTTTGGCAAGTTCTAACCAACCGTGAAAAATTCATTTTACCAAGACCCTATTGGTTTTGAAACAACCATAAGTAGCCTGGGCTTGGCCTGGACTAAATTACCATTAAACAAGCAATCCTAAATAATTCATAATTAACAAACAGTATTTTTACGCTAGAGCGGTACTGCCGTGCTTAGCCAAAAAGACGCAACTCCACATTTTTACTTTATAAATTATAGCGCTTAATTGTTTTTCTCTAAGATACGTTCAATTTAATTAGAAATTTTTAGGAGCTATAGTACTTAAAAATGTATGTAGGTATAGTTAAAATGCGTCTTTTTTTCTAAGAGAATAATTTAATAATAACGAGATGTCTTTTTGGCTTAGGACGGCAGAATAGTCAATACTTATAAATTGGTTACATTTCCGCGCCCAACAACAATACATTTCACAATCATTAACACATTTTATCACTTAAGGCGCAAAAATGTATTTAATAATTCAAAAATTATGATCGACATCAATAGTTATGATTGACATTGACATTTGCAAATAGCGTTTGTACAGATGTCTGCAATTTACAAATAGATATAGTTCAGGTATTGTAGATCTAGAGGGCAGTGATGGAAGAGTTTCCAATGTATGGGGTGTATTATCTTTGGGTCCCCTAATTATGTACGTACATACGTACGTACCTATTAATCGTTACCAACATTCAAATGTTATAACTTTTGCGATTAATGCAATTTAACAATGAGAAAAATACAAATTATTTAATATGACTAGAAATAATTATACTCGAGACTACCAAAATTACATCCAAATATTTTTAATCACAAAATTTCATTTGATAATGATAATTTTATTCTTTCTTTAAAAACCATTTGTTATAAACTAATACTAACATATAAAACAATGAAAAGTGTTTACAATATATTAGGTATACCAACATATTTGCATTCGTTAAAAACCCTTGCAAAAATAATGCAAATAACCAGTATATGTTGTATATTGTGGGTTTATTATAAAAACACACTGGTTTTCTAAACCTTAATTTATTGTTGTCCAAAACCGATACATCTTAAGTCTACAGTGTTGTCGGACTTCCCCCCCTATGTCTATATGCAACACATGTTACATGCATGTCAATATGCAACATCTCCCTTTTTTATATAAACAAAATCTTATCTAATATGTTACAAAATCGGAAAACTTATTGGGAAGTTTAATATTCCTACGAGGCCTATCGATTTTAGTCTGACCTGCTTCAAAATTGGGTTCTGGGTTTGAAGGAATGGTTTGGGATAGGGAGTCTGGCTCTTCTTGAATATTTGATTCGTTCAAAGATTGCCTCAAATCTTTTTTGTTTCTTCTAAGTTCTCCTCCTGTTTCGTATTTACAATGTACGATCTTGGTGTTTCTGCTCTTTTTTCTATCTGTGCTGGCTCCCATATTTTTTCGTTTCTAACCACTACATTTTCTCCTTCCTTTAGCGGTATTAAATCCTTCGCGTTTCTATCATAGTATTGTTTTGCCTTCTCTTTTTCTTGCTCTTTTCTGTTCTTTATATAGCCTTGAAGTTCCGCATGAAGTAAGTTACTTCTTGTTGGTAGTTTCGTTCTTAATCGTCTAGATTGCAGCATTTGTGCAGGTGATAATTTCATGACTTTAATAGGTGTATTTCGGTATTCTAACAAATATGTATAAATATCTGTTCTTTCTTCGTATGCTTTTCTTAACATATTTTTGGCTATTTGTACAGCTCTCTCCGCCAATCCATTTGATTGTGGGTATCTGGGACTACTCGTTGTTATCGTAAAATTCCATTGTTTGGCAAATTCTTTCATTGCGAAACTGTTGTATGGCATATTAT